TTGTGATGGTACATTGAGATACATTGTAGAATGCAGCATTTTAGTGTAGGATGAGACGTTTAGTATTATCGGTGTAGCAACAATACAAACCCCTTGCTCAGTGGTCGATTACTAGGCCAATAGACGATGCAATGATATCCTCTGATGGTGCGGCAATTTTGTGCCAAATGCAGCTCAAGCAGCGGCAATATCCCAACAATCAACTACATACAGAGGAGAAAAGGCGGAAGCATCGGACCAACTCCGTTGCCACTGTAGTATAAGCCCTATTTTTTAGCTGTCCGGCTTGCGGAAGTTCCTCACAAACGGGCGACTACTTCCCGTACAAAGCGTTGACGCCAAGGAAAGAGCCGGAAAATGACAGCGTCCATAGAAACGGTAAGAAAGCCGGCGCAGAAAAATGTTCAAGTTATGAGGTTACGTGAAAGATTGTGCTGGGTTTCATGTGTGAATACTGTATTACAAAAACTGATTTTGGCATTAAGTCATGAAATCATCATAGTCACCAGAGGTAGGCAAACACTCATCGCGGCATGAACTAACTGTTAGCCAACTAGTACCAAAAACACCAAGAACGTAAATAGGCAGAAAGAATTCCGTCCTGGCTTGTTTTCGTTCGGTAGCTGTCGTTCGCTAGAAAAGGCTAAGTAGGCCAAACGAAAATGCTGACCTTAAGTGACCACAATTTCAATAATCGTGTAGTAACAACGGCCATGATGACACCGAAGGTCCCACTCTTACCTGGCAAGACAGTTTAGACACTTCGACCCACTTACCTAGCTAGGATGGAAAGAATTAGCTTGCACTGATATATCACGTGCAAACTTTTAACAAACGCTAGCGTAGGAGTGTTTGTATGAAAGGTGGGCGACAAAGTATGTGTACTCTCCATAGCTACGAAAATTTTCATTAGTCGTGCTAAGGCTTATGTGTGTGAAAGTTAATCATTACATTCCTGTCTGCGTGACAAGTTTGTAGACTGCTATTTTAAGCAGCCGTATGTTGTGACAAACGACGTGCCATATAGCGTACAACAGAATTGTATGAATAGAAAGTGTAGTGCTACCATGTCGTTCGTCAGGGGAGGAGGTACTAATTAGCGCAAAATGCAAATACGCAAGCTGCTGCCCGAAGCGATCTGTCGTTTGACAAATAAACATTGATGCCCTTGTATACTGCCTGTCCTTCATAATATCTAAGTATTTTGTTCGATAGAACTTCATATGGCTATTGTTTTCGTCTCGATCGTCGATGTTGTTCTTAGCAACGTTTTCCTCTCTTAGTACCAAAATGGCGGCGAAACATAATTCCGTTGTGCTACCCTATTGTTGTTGTGCAGGTAAGTGGGCTGAGGAGAGGGAAGGTGGGCACGGGCGGCAACATAGCCTCCGGTGGTTTTTGTCGACCAAATAATCTCTTCAGTGAAGTCTATTGTCGGTCTGTCCAGCGGGCCTCAATCTTAGCCGGTAACTTCTTCGTACCGCTCTTCCAAATCCCATTCTTCATCAATGCCACACTCTGCCTATTCCTCACCTTTGGCATTCTGCTTATGGTCCTTTTTCTCAGCAGAGTCACTATTATCTTGGTAGCTAATACGTCTGCGATGATGTCGGCGGGATGTTGTCATCAATCTACATGAACATGATAACTTTTAAGCTGCTGTCCTTATCGACAGGGACCTGCCGATATAATTTTAGGTAATGCGAGGGACGAAAAATGAGGCCATGTCTTTTTTTCAGAACGGTTCGCGCCTTTTTTCATAAAATCCACACAGTCTTTTAATGATATTGTTATGCAAATAAGACGCATGTAAAATGAAATACGCAGCCACACGCAGACGTTGGATACTCTTACGCTATGTAGATATAAACGAAGTTATAATGGTCGTTGTTTTTTCCATTTTTGTTGCTCCTCTCTCTCTCTCTCTCTTGTAGATCGATTGCTTATTCTAGCAGCCGGTCTTTTGTTTCCCTGTCCATCGACTTCTTCATATAGAAACAGGGAAGCGGCCGCTTCCGTACACTCACTTACGTAGAAGCTGATTCGTTTTGAATGGTTGATTCAGAGAGTCTTCGTATCCCAGACCCGTCCGTACTTGCACTGTTGCTACCTCTGGCTGTGTGTTCCGATACTACTACTTCCCTCCTACTCTCGCGACCAACGCTTTAATAGCCATAACGCTGACACACATGGACGCACAGACTCTTTACGAGGAATACAGGCGGAAGTTGTGTCCGACGATCACCGTTAACGTGGATTGCTCCTTGCCTGTAGTGCCGCTTTATCATACGTCGTCACGGGCCTAACTTCAGCTGCTGGGACTGATCTAAGCTACTTAATGTTTCTTAAACGCATCCCGCCAAAATCGGAAATGATTTGAAAAGGGAAAGGCAAGCCACGTATGGCGTGTTACCCATTCGTACTTTACAACTGGTAAAACCGGTCAAATGCTCCATAACCGGACATTTTGAAATTGTTTCTGATATTAAAAATAATGTCTGTCGACGCAATGTACCTCGCAACAGAATACTTGACAGTTGGTCCTTGTTGTTAAAACTCTAGCTGGTTCAACTGATGCCCTAACTGGTTTTATTAGATGCACTATAATAATCAATAGCCAACGGACACTCACAGGTCAAGTTAAGATGCGTTGTTTATCTGGCCAGCACGCTGTTATTTCAAACATCAGCTGAAAATGCGTAGCCATATTCAGGTATATGAGATGACGCTGCTGGTATCAGTAGGTCTATGGGTCTACCCCCGAGAACCCCGGAAACCGAGGCATAACTCTTATTACATTATTAATTACAACAGACTCTTCTCTATCTATAGATCTAATTGAATAAGCGAGATAAAATGGGTATGACTTACATAGGATACAATCTTTTTTTACGGGCAAACGCCTGTCTCTCTAACGAGCATCTCGAGTACAGATCGGTAACCATAAAAAGCAGATCCGCACAATATATAGACATTCTAAGTGCAAACGCTGAGTGTAGATCAGAAGATCATGAGGAGAAGACACAACATTATTGCTAGGGAAATACGTTAATTGGACATTCCAGAACGACCATCTTCACAACAAAACAAATACAGAACTAATAGCTCGACCAGATCGAATAGTCTCTGAACTCGAGGATGGGCAGTCTATTAAGTGGCAGCTTTTCGTGTTACCGTCGAAAAAAAAATTTCATTTATTTCTTTACATCGTGACAGATGTTTCTCTGTGGCTGACGACTATAAGCAATTTGTTAGAAATTTAATTCAATTTAAAAACTTTAAATTTCCAGATAGTTACTACCTTCCAAAGGATATTTGTAACCCCATATAGATTTGCTATTCTTGTTTGTTTTTTTTTTCTATTTTATGGTTTTCTTGTTGCTGAACTAACTTGACAGCTACGAGCTTAGTGCTCAGTGCTAACAGAGAAGCCATCGCTTCGTAAAGGCTTTCATGTATATAACTTAGATACCATACCGTTGTTAAAAGCTTTCAACTTTACCAATGAAATCATAGACGTCTGCCCTATACGTGCAGGGATTTAGATTACTGCTATCAACTTCTATTAGTAGAGACATGCTCTATAAATCATGAGTTGCTTGGGCTGATTGACTGATGAAGAACTGCGGGGCAAATATGGTAGCGAAAAGTAATTGAAAACAATGTCTAGTGCCATATAAGAATTAGTCTTAGCGAAAAGCAAAAGATGTAGCATCTTGCATATGCTCACATGAACCCGCCATATATATATATATATATATGTACTATCCATTCGAATACTTTTTAGACGCTAAATATAAATACCAAGATGAAACCTACGCTTACATTTTAGATAACTCATGTACGATAGTCGGGTTGTATTAGTTAATGATCTTCCTATATGTATTCGCTTGATGCGGTCAGTATGTGCGTGTACGTGCATACTTGGTCGATCATTCCGCCATTGGACTTTTAATATGCATCTCACTCTAATTTAGCTGATCCAGGTTCCCCTTGAAAATCAGCTGTCGAGGTCCAGTGGTGGCCAATAGATATGTTTTTCATCATGTGGTCGCACTTTTCGTTTGTTGCCACTCGACTACCGTTGGCGCACAATTGTGCCATCAGCAACAATACATCATGTAGTTTGGGGGCTGTAGTTGGCCCCATTCAGTGCCCTTTTATCATTCGTAATGTCGTTCTCTAAAAATACGAAGTGATCTGACAGCTCAGCTGAATAGTGACTAGCTGGTGAGCAAGAAATTAGAGGTTGTATATAAACCAATCAAGTTCCTGTAATTTGAAGTTGATGTAATAAGTCATAATAGTACAAACGGCGAAACTGCTGAAAATCGATCAAAACGGCTTAAAAAGCCATTTTGCGCCTAGGTTAATATAGAAATCAACGACCGTTTTCCGGCTCAAATTTGTGATTACTTATTGGATCGTTGGGAAAAGCTTCCGCATTTTTCCACCTTTTGATCCTTTTGGATACTTTGAGTTCCTGCATCTTTGTTTTTTTAGCTTGCTACAGGTATAAAATTTAATTCCGTCGAAATTATTTGCACGCGCACCTATTTACATCTAACCGTATCGCATAATGGATGGTTTCCATTAAGAGGTTAGTATGGAAAGAACATTTGGTAAGTGAAGCTCATATCCCAAGTTAAAACTAGACAGTCTCAAAAGGATGTGTCCGCCTGTTTCTCGATTTCAGTATTAAGAAGTCGGGTGTTCTTCGGGAACTCGATTTGTACATTTATTCGGACGCGCGCGAGCGAATTGCGTGCACTCGACTGATCGATCATGCCGAAACCATCTGCGCCGTCTAACGATCGATGTCCTCACCGATGAGCTCGTGCAGATTATATTAAATCGAGCTCGAATTTTTCAGGAAACCTAGATATCCAGATCACACTATATATATGTGTATATATAGCACAAAAGTAGCACATTATATATATATAATGTGCTACTTTTGGATCTTACACGTATGATATATGTTTCGGAAGAGAAGTTCCCACAAATTAACTAATGAGCTCTAGGCAAACACGCCAAAGAATTGGCCCAGTCTCCAGGAGAAGCGGTCGGATATCTTGGTGAGTCGCTAGAAATTTGACTTCATTGGGAAGATTTTCGTTTATTGAAGAGGTCATCAGTCCTTTTTTCTTTTTTAGTTTCAAATAGAATGGCCACCTGATTTCGACAAGTGAACCCACTGTGGTTTTTCTTATCGGGTTATTTACTCAGTTTTACTTTATGGATTTTCTATTACATAACTAAGTACACGCTGCCGATGGTTTAGGCAATTATAATCATTCTAGTTACTTTTGTGCCATTTCAGTGTCCGTGTATACGCACGACTACCTGCACACTGTGCACGTCCCAGATTCTCGATATCTGCTAATGACAGTCTGACAAGTATCAACCAACCACTCATCAATATTCTAGTATTATTTTTTTTAATTATTGCAGGGCAACGCCACCAGCGAAAACGCTAAAGCGCAACAGAGCAGAGTCTATCAAGAAGCCATTACCAAATCTCCGCAGATTCATGCCCCTGTAATTATATCACTAAAAAAGATCGTGGACCAAGGCTGAAATAACACCTTTCTTCTACCATATTTCCAGACAATGATAAATCGATTTCACCAGCGGCGATTTTCCTTCGTGCAACAGAGAGAGGGTAAATCAGAAAACAGAAAGCCCCCAATGATTGTCTTCGTCTTTTCGCTAGCGCGTACTCGAAAATTTATATAAATTTTTATATACACACACTTTATTTCAGTCAAATAGTTTCACACTGCCATTGGACCCACCCGCAGAATGGAAAATATGACAACAACGTTGATTGCTTCTATAGGAGGTAAGCTTAATGAAGAAGAATGGTACAGGCAAATACATGTAATTCAAAGTATTTATATTGTAGATACAAATTGGTCAGATAGAGAACAGTTCAGTAATTAGAGACTAGCAAATGGTTAGCTGAAATACAGCTACAAATTCCTTATCGGTAATGGAAAGGATCTTCAAGCGTGCCCCATTCCATACTGCCTATCCATATTTTCTACATTTGTGCTATGGTTATATATTTTACGTTAGCTTTCCTATTGTCGAGAAAGCGAAGATCATTTTTGCAAAATTGCTTTAATTGTAATTTACTAACACTGGACGATATACCGAGGAGGCTCTATCATTGTCGTTCTAGGCGTTACTTTTATTGTTAGTTTCATTTAAGTTAACTGAGTACCAGGATTAAGGAATATATTAAGATGGCAAGAACTTCTTGGGTAACGTTATGCTTGGAGAGGACAATTGGGCCTTGCTCGCCATACCTGTCACGCTCCGAAAATTGATCTTGTCAGGATCCCATGTATCGCGAAAGGCTGAAACATCAATTATCACCCTTCTAGTTTTGTTCTTGCAGTGAATATGTAATGCATTATGTGTTCGGTGATTCAGCATGAAATAGAAAAAACGTCGGTCTCGTGTCTTAAAGTGGCCTTCCTTTAGAACGGTGCGATGTTTTGGGTTTGGCAAAAGCTTGGAATCGAGTCTTGGGAGCAACTTATCTCGAAGTACACAGTTATTCGCGTTTAAATTTGACTATACATAAACATTTTCTTCTTATTTATTTCGATAAAATTAGGTAGATAAATTGGATGACAGATGGTGAAAAGCCTGATTTTACCGGAATCGAAAGAAATGTTTGCTTCTCTTTTCCCTTGCGTTCCATGAGTAGCCTAGTTTTCATCAAAATGTAACTCGTAGTAAAAAATGACCTTTTTAGTCACATTGGCGAAAATGTACAGTTGTAATATTCTATGATGTATGCTTGGTGAAGGAGTTCGGTACGGCTTGTTGGGCACCGATCCATTGAATATCTGTTAAATTAGTAAACAAAGCTAAATTACTCCTACTGCATGACCACACAGGGCAAGATGCACTGTGGTAAAAAATGTAGATATCAAATAATTGAACCCCAGCTCAATCTTTTCGATAATGTCGCACACTGCGTTGAGCGGTAAGAATGTTAGATCTTTCTTGACCTTCGAAAAGGTTCAAATGATAGAGTCTGTATCTGCAAACGCTCGAGTTTCCCGTGGCCGTCACATTATTCGGAAATTAATCGCTTATTTTTCGTGAATTTTTTCTAGGTTTTCTATGACTGCGATGCATTTTATAATAAGTGCTGACAATGACGATTGACAAACTCTGCTATTATTGTGAAGACCACCCCATACCGAGTGACGTAGCGTGCAAAACGTAGGAGGTTGCTTTTGGGTTTTGAACACAGTTCAGGTTATGCACATTGGAAAAATAAATGCCCGGTCGAAATCGATGGATAGCTCTATCTATTCTGTAATATTTATAGTTTGCATTGATTATAAATGGCAATGTGAGGACAATATCACGCAGAACGGAGGTAATAGAGTAATAGAACGCGGAGACCATATAGAAATTGTGACACTTGTTGGACCTATTTCGAAGATAAGCCTTGATGTATGTTCCGTGTACGTTGAAAAGTGTACGATAGAACGTCATTTTCTTAGTAAAAGAATATGATTTGATTGCAATTTTACTATCTAGTTTTAGATGTCTTCATTGGCCCTTGTTCGTTTTCTATTGTCTAAGGTTCTTGAAGATATTCGACATAAAAACATAATAAAGAAAGAGGGACAAAGCAACAGTTCATTGATGCTTTTATCCATAATCATTTATTTAATCTAGCTCACAATGTTTTGTAGCACTATAATGGTATAAAATATAATATATAATGGTAAGAACCAAGTTAATTTGTGCTGTATACCAGTGTACCTCTATTCTGCCTCCAGCACATACAGCTTCAAACCTATACCTCAGTGCCCTTCACTGTTGCCATATTAATCCACTGGTTTTTGTATCGTGCTTTGTGAAATGTATAAGGACCACAGATACAATCAGTGCAGCCTTACGACAATTTTACCTAGTCTCAAATTTAATGCCGCCACACTCAGCTGAGCGTTGGCGAACAGACGACTAAGGAAGTTAACACTTTGAGAGATCAAGCCTGTCGAAGGTCTAAGCAGCCCATCTTTCATCCGGTAACCTCATAGGACGAGGACCTAGCATAAAGGAAACGTCAAGCAGAGCTACAGGGGGTAACCATCAAATTATGAAAATATATAAACTGGAGTAGGTTGCATCGTGGGCTTACCGTTCAGGGATCAACTTGGTAGCAAAGCACTAGTATTCGTCCTTCACGACTACAAATGCTGGTAACATATTTGCAAATCTTTTTACTGTTTCCTTCGTAAAAGTGCGGATCAGCGAGATTAGTATTAGTTGTCGTACTTTCATACCTGTTTCCTTTGTGCATATTTGATATTTAACTGAATACTATTACTTATAAAAGAGTCACAGCTTTGAGCTAGATATTAACTATTGTGATGGCATACTCGTTTCGATACTCAACAGGTTGTTTCCTTTCTATTTTTGAAAAATATCAAAGATGATCCCAAGATCAATACGGATCGACTTCTCTCAATAGGTTTAATGGAAGCGTATTTGCTACGAAAATTGACTCTAGATATATTTCCAGAGCAAATCAGCTCAAAAATATCTTCAGAATTTAATCTCGCGCTACTTTGCCTTACCGATCTGCCCGATGATGTATACAATCAGATATTTAAGATACAAGAAATATCAATAAGCATCCCTAAAAATGCTGTATGTAAAGGATATTATTCATCAGCAATGGTTATTTGATCGAAAACGGCTAATTAACTGATGTATATTTATCTATATCTATATAAAGATACCCAACAGAAAAATTTAACGCTTGCATTTGGAGATGCGCTAGAGACATCGAATGTTGGCGTCCAGCGGTGGCTTCGGCCTCTCAGCGTGCGCGTCGTTCCTGTACAGGTGCAATCGTGACTAGAATGAAGATGCTTGTTTCCGTTCACTTTCAGTATCAACAAACGTTTTTTATTTATTTGGTTGCAAGCTTTCGGGATGCCGATGCCGATGTACAGAACGAGAAGGCCGCTCTTCGACCGATTTCGAGAAAAGCTAACCTCTATCTTGACAACTTCCTGGAAAACTTTTGGGAGTTTCTACGTCGTACATAGTATTACTGACTTCCCGTGCTGATCATTAATAAGCAACACTGTTTTGTGATTAGGACCTGGTCAAAACCTATTCGTTACCGCATCAGTTGATCGATAAAAAAAATCTTGACTTATATATGGCTGCAGGTAGGAGGAGGAAAAAACTATCAAGCTATAAGTGAAGCCATGTGTTAGCATCTATTAGCAACCGCTATTTCGATTTAAGGAAATTGTCGAACGAAACTGTTTATTTTATTATAATGAAGAAAAACCGGCTTTTTGCCGAAACAAAAATGGGCCCTTAGAATACCTATCCGTAGATCTGAATAAAGATAGGTCTACACAACAAGGACGAGAACATTGAAGAAAACATAGAGAGCGAATGCCGAGCTATCGTCGGCCGAACGAGCACACTATACGACATTTCTACGGAATAATTCACGTGATTGACCGTCGTCCTGTGACATGTTGCTTATATATTACTGGGTCTACCTTGTTAGCCCTGTTTACAGAACTGTTAGTTTAACCATAATGTGTTCTGTTGGTAAAGGTGTCCATCTACATTATAGGCCAGTTGAAGCCTAATAAGCCAAGCTATGAATCAGGCCCTTAAACTGTTAGCTGGTGTTTTTTGTAACCGCTGCCTTTATAGTTCGCATGTTTTGCTAAAGCCTCTCAGTCCAATGAATGGTTCATCGATAAATGAAAAAATACCAGGCGTTCATTGGCCTTCCACGCTCGTAGCAAGGGGTACGTGGTGCGATAATCGTCGTCTCGTTAATGCTCGTCGAGGGCATCGTGGCTCATCTGTTATACGTTTTATGTCATGTTTTTCTCTTATGCTCACGTGTTATGTTTTTTAAAAGATGTAAAAAAAAATCTAATTTAATCTGTGCTTTTTAGACGGCTGCCTGTAAAAGTTTTAAACGTAAAAATGATAGCGTAAATAATAGAATTGTTGTCGCGTTATACATACGATTTATAAAGCATATATGTATATGATATGCTGGTTGGACAAAGTTGTTTAGTTCAGCTAATTACACTCGGTCTAATGTCTGGATTTCTTAGGATGTTTCCAGAAGCAATTCGTTGTCCTTAGTGGACTAGGAATCTTCTCTAGGTACGGCAGGGCAATGATAAAGGAGTTCGTTGGGGCAAAAGCCAGTTAAGGATGACACGCAGTAGAATCTTATGAGGAAACTGCTTGACATTCGTGGCATCTCTTCGGGTCGATAGTACGAGGGGTAAAATGCGTTTTCGGTCTACCGCTCCTTTACGGCCTTTGATAATGTATGGATTTTTAATTTCTATTAGGTATATTCATCAAAGTGACAGATATACAAGTGCCCGTTATTACAATACTATCAGAAAGCAGACCAGCAGGCTGTAAGTTGAAATGTTCAACTGCTGCTTAACTTTACTTGGAAGACGAGAAGCGTCAAAGGGGTGACATGGCAGAAATGGAGACTCGTTTGTGATGGTAGTTTTAATACTGCCTTGACAACGATGACAAGTATGGTTTAGTGACTAGCCAAACAATCGGACGGGTAACAAGCACTTCGAGTTGAGGTCGGCTTGATTCACTCTAGCGATACTAACAAATAGTGGCTACTACCTTGATCAAATTTAAGCGATACTATCTCATACAGTTAAGAGCCTGAAAAGAGAGCCCCTCGAAAAAGGATACCCATGGGATATTTACACACACAAATTAACCATCATATATTTATTGCCCTGAACACTATACGAGATAACAAATAAACGAAATAGGTAAGTTGTCTGTGTGTTCAATAGATGTAGATGTGGTTGATTTTTGCTGATTCACAAGATGAAATCGACATAGATCGTTGTGATTCACTTATATATCTCCGTGATAGCTTAGTACATAACGTATTTGTATGGGAACGCCTGCTGGTCTAAACACATTTCGCATTATTAAGTAACTATATTATGAAACTATAATACAGAACTCGGATCGTTTTTGCTTTCTAATTACCATAATTTGGAAACAAGAATATTTTCTAGGTAAACATTTTGTTTCGTAGTAGGGCATCGTAAACTACGCCATTTGAAAGAAGTTTATCGTAGAAAGGAAAGGATGATAGCGAAAGTTACCTAGTCAAACCTCTCCAGAGTTTAGAAAACGATGCCACACGTATCTTCCCCGCCATTCGCCATTGGTCCTCGAAGCTGCATTGAGATAAACTTACTTGTTTTTATTACAGAGGCATATTTCGACTTAATACGTGTCAAGTACATGACGTTCATTCTTGTTAATGATAATAGTCGCCTACGATCCATAGCCAGTCATTGGTGATTTAAGTGTACTGACCAGTTAAGTTAGTTAAATAAGTAATGTTCTGCATACTTTTTTTACTCGGCGAAAATTTATACTGAGCAACACATGCTTCTCGAAAGTTGTGCTTAGTTTTTTGTTTTGGTTAAGCTGTTGCCAGTCTTTGAACTTGGTGATACTGATCGGCTTTTAGACAATGCACTAAATACTAATAGGGCGTCCGTTGTTGAAAACCATCCCGTATCTAATTGAATATTATAGGTAAATGACAACCGAGAGTGCTTTGTGTACATATATTCACTGACAGTGTAAACCGAAACCCATAAAGGCCATGCACGATAAAACATTGTTCGGATTAAGCTAGCTGCCACAGGCTTTCTAACGCTATATATATATATATATATATATATATATATATATATGTATGTAAGTTCGTTTTTTGTTCAATTAGACTGACTGTATAGTCTTCGAGCTCGCATTCATAGTTCTGCAATGAAGCAACTACTAGGAGTACGCACGAAAGGACTCATCTAGTGGTACTCGCTACGCGTCCAAGGAACTATCTTGTCGCCTTCAAATGGCCTGTATAACCATTAGCTGTTCGAAACAATGGCCTACCTTTTGAATCACTAAATCGACTCGCCTAGCGTATCAGTAGCGTTATGCTTATTTTGAAAAAATTAACAATAAATAACATAATCGTCTATAAGTCACGAAAATGAATTGAATTGTAGATTAGAGAGACAATAAAAAAAAAATTAAATAAAATTCTAAATTTAGAAATATACAACTGTTCTAGGTAATAGATTTTTGATCAATATATATATAATAATGTCTGCGAATTTTCCTATTGTGGAGCAAGTGATCTTTTTGGACGATCGTTCATTTATTTGCTTGATTTCTATTATTGCTTTGTTTAGATATGTGATAGTAAATATTCTGATGGTTAATAATTGCTATAATTGATTTTATGTTAGAAGGTCATGATATTGAATGCTGTTAGCAGCGGTGATCTTCATTTCGATTTAATGCTATTCCAACATTGCGTCCAAGTTCGAATCTTTCGTTTTTATAACCCACTCTTCAAACGACGCAGGGGAACATAGC